AGCCACTAGGGAGCACAAGCCAGTGTATCTCTTGTGCCGGTCCCAAGCCCGGGTAAATGGTGAGGGTTGTGTCAGGAATGGCATCCGATATAAAACACTTTTGCCAAAACAATAATGCAAGTTCATCAAAGCAAAACCATACCGGATCGGTTGAGGCCCGGGTTAACAACGACCGCCACCGGTGCTGTTGACAAACTGGGTGCCGGTGGAAATTGTGCTACTGTTAGTGGAAGACCACGAGGAGGGAAACATGTCAGGAGACAGAGGGAGAAGAGGAAAGTAAAGAATGTAGGACTGAGGGCTGCAACTCTAAATGTGGGGACAATGACAGGCAAAGGTAGAGAGCTGGCTGATATGATGCTGAGAAGGAAGGTAGATGTTTCATGTGTCCAAGAGACCAAGTGGAAGGGCAGCAAGGCTTGCAGCATTGGAGAAGGGTTCAAACTGTTTTACCATGGTGTGGATAGAAAGAGAAATAGAGTAGGGCTGGTCCTGAAGGAGGAGTTGGCAAAGAATGTAGTAGAGGTGAAAAGAGTGTCAGATAAGGTGATGTGTCTGAAGGTAGAAGTAGAAGGTCTGATGCTAAACATCAACAGTGGTTCTGCTTCACAGGTTGGATGTGATGAGGAGGAGAAAGATACATTTTGTAAAGATCTGGATCAAGTGATGGAGAGTATTCCCAGGGAGGAGAGAGTGGTGATGGGAGCAGACCTGAATGGACATGTTGCTGAAGGAAACAGAGGATGAGGAAGTGATGGGTAGGTTTGGTGTCAAGGAAAGAAACCAGGAAGGACAGATGGTGGTGGATTTTGCCAAGAGAATGGAAATGGCTGTAGTCAACACCTATTTCCAAAAGAGGGAGGAGCATAGTGTGACCTATAAGAGTGGAGGAAGGAGTACACAGGTCGACTACATTCTGTGTAGAAGAGGAAACCTGAGGGAGATTGGAGACTGTAAGGTTGTGGCAGGGGAGAGCGTGGCCAGACAGCATCGGATAGTTGTGTGTAGAATGACTGTTGTTGTGAAGAAGAGAAAAAGAGTCAAATCAGAGAAGAAGACCAAATGGTGGAAGATGAAGAAGGAAGAATGTTGTGATAAATTCAGAGAGGAGCTGTTAAAGGCTCTGGGTGGTAAGAAAGAGCTTCCAGATGACTGGACTACTACAGCAACAGTAATTAGAGAGACAGGTAGGAAGGTACTTGGTGTGTCATCTGGACAGAGAATGGATGATAAGGAAACCTGGTGGTGGAATAGTGAAGTGCAGGAAGATGTTCAAAGAAAGAGGTTAGACAAGAAGAAATATGACAGAGAGAGGACTGAAGAGAGGAGACAGGAATATAAGGAGATGGGACGTAGAGCAAAGAGGGAGGTAGCTAAGATAAAGTAGAAGGTGTATGATGAGTTGTATGGGAGACTGGACACTAAAGAGGGAGAGAAGGACTGGTAGTGATTGGCAAGACAGAGGGATCAGGCTGGAAAGGATGTGCAGCAGGTTAGGCTTATTAATGATAGGAATGGTAATGTTCTAACAAGTGAGGAGAATGTGATGGGAAGATGGAAGGAGTACTTTGAGGAGCTAATGAATGAAGAGAATGAAAGAGAAAGAAGATTAGAGGTCATAAAAACTCTGGACCAGGAAGTGGGAAAGATTAGTGAGGGTGAAGTCCGGAAAGCTCTGAAGAGAATGAAGAAGGGGAAGGCAGTAGGACCTGATGACCAGTGGAGGTATGGAAATGTCTTGGAGAGATGGCAGTGAGGTTTTAACTCAAATATTCAATGACATTTGAGGGTGAGAAAATGTTTGAGGAATGGAGAAGAAGTGCTGGTGGCCATTTTTAAGAACAAGGGTGATGTACAGAGTTGTAGCAACTACAGGGGAATTAAGCTGATGAGCCACACGATGAAGATCTGGGAGAGAGTTGTGGAAGCAAGACTTAGACGAGGGGTGACTATCTGTGAGCAGCAGTATGGTTTCATGCCAAGAAAGAGAAAGAGCACCACAGATGCCATCTTTGTTTTGAGGATGATGATGGAGAAGTACAGAGAGGGTCAGAAAGAACTCCATTGTGTCTTTGTGGATTTAGAAAAAGCATCTGACAGAGTGCAGAGGGAGGAGGTGTGGTGTTACATGAGGAGATCTGAAGTGGAAGAGAAGTATGTTAGACTGGTACAGAACATGTATGAGGACAGCAGGACATATATGAGGACAGCAGGACAGTGGTGAGATGTGCTGTAGGAGTGACAGATATCTTAAAGGTGGAGGTGGGAGTGCATCAAGGATCGGCTCTGAACCCCTTCTTGTTTGCTCTGGTGATGGACCGACTAACAGATGAGGTCAGGCAAGAATCCCCATGGACAATGATGTTTTCAGATCTGTGGTGGGAACAGGGAACAGGTGGAAGAGAACTTGGAGAGGTGGAGGTATGCACTTGAAAGAAGAGGAATGAAAGTCAGCCGTAGTAAGACAGAGTCCATGTGAGTGAATGAGAGGGAGGAGGTGGAACAGTGAGACTACAAGGAACAGAGGTCACAAAGGTGCAGGACTTCAAGGACTTGGGGTCCACTGTCCAGGAACATGGGGAGTTTGGTAAAGAGGTGAAGAAGAGAGTCCAGGCAGGATGGAGTGATGGAGAAAAGTTTCAGGAGTGATTTGTGACTAAAAGTTGTCAGCAAAGGTCAAAGGAAAAGTTTACAAGACAGTGGTGAGACCAGCTATATTGTATGGTCTGGAGACAGAGACATGGACAAAAAGACAGGAGACAGAACTGGAAGTGTCAGAAATGAAGATGTTGAGGTTCTCCTTAGGAGAGACAAGGATGGAGAAGATCAGGAATGAGATCATCAGAGGTACAGCACAGGTTGAACAACTGGGAGATGAAGTTAGAGAGGACACACTGAGATGGTTTGGACATGTCCAGAGGAGGGACAGTGGTTTGGACATGTCCAGAGGAGGGACAGTGGGTATATTGGTAGAAGGATGTTAGAAATGCAGCTGCCAGGAAAAAGACAAAGAGGAGACATATGGATGCAGTTAGAGAGGACATGGAGGTAGATGGAGTGAGGACAGAGGACAGAGTGAGGTGGAGGAGGACTCGCTATGGAGACCCCTGAAGAGGGAAAAGCCGAAAGAAGAAAGAATAGTAATGCAAATAGTAAGTAGTTAATTTTAGCAATTTATATACAGTGCCTTGCGAAAGAATTCGGCCCCTTGAACTTTTCACCCTTTTGCCACATTCCAGGCTTCAAACATAAAGATATAAAATTGTATTTTTTGTGATGAATCAACAACAAGTGGGACACAATCATGAAGTGGAATGAAATTTATTGGATGTGTCAAACTTTTTAACAAATAAAAACTGAAAAGTGGGGTGTGCAATATTATTCGGCCCCCTTGCGTTAATACTCTGTAGCTCCGCCTCTTGCTGCAGTTCCAGCTGCAAGTCTCTTGGGGTTTGTCTCCATCAGTGTTGAACATGGAGACACTGAAGTTCTGCCCATTCTTCCTGCAGAACAGCTGGAGCTCAGTGAGGTTGGATGGAGAGCGTTTGTGAACAGCAGTCTTCAGCTCTTTCCACAGATTCTTGATTGGATTCAGGTCTGGACTTTGACTTGGCCATTCCAACACCTGGATACGTTTATTTGTGAACCATTCCATTGTAGATGTGTCTTTATGTTTTGGATCATTGTCTTGTTGGAAGATAAATCTCCATCCCAGTCTCAGGTCTCTTGTAGACTCAAACAGGTTTTCTTCCAGAATGGTCCTGTATTTGGCTCCATCCATCTTCCATCAAGTCTGACCATCTTCCCTGTCCCTGCTGATGAAAAGCAGGCCCAAACCATGATGCTGCCACCACCATGTTTGACAGTGGGGATGGTGTGTTCAGGGTGATGAGCTGTGCTGCTTTTACTCCAAACATATCGTTTTGCATTGTGGCCAAACAGTTGGATTTTGGTTTCATGTGACCAGAGCACCTTCTTCCACATGTTTGGTGTCTCCCAGGTGACAAACTTTAAACAACACTTTTTATGGATATCTTTGAGAAATGGCTTTCTTCTTGCCACTCTTCCATAAAGGCCAGATTTGTGCAGTGTACGACTGATTGTTGTCCTATGGACAGACTCTCCCACCTCAGCTGTAGATCTCTGCAGTTCATCCAGAGTGATCATGGGCCTCTTGGCTGCATCTCTGATCAGTCTTCTCCTTGTTCCAGATGAAAGTTTAGAGGGACGGCCGGGTCTTGGTAGATTTGCAGTGGTCTGATACTCCTTCCATTTCAATATGATTGCATGCACAGTGCTCCTTGGGATGTTTAAAGCTTGGGAAATCTTTTTGTATCCAAATCGGCTTTAAACTTCTCCACAACAGTATCTCGGACCTGCCTGGTGTGTTCCTTGGTCTTCATGATGCTCTCTGCGCTTTGAACAGACCCCTGAGACGATCACAGAGCAGGTGCATTTATACGGAGACTTGATTACACACAGGTGGATTCTATTTATCATCATCAGTCATTTGGGACAACGTTGG